TTTTTTTTTTTTTAACCTGTCCTAGAAGGTTATAATCAAAGTTTTGGTAATCCTAAAATTTCTGTTTTCTTATCTCCGAGTTGAAAACTTCTCTTTTGGACAGAGCTTGTTTGCCTGCTGCCCTGCCTGCGGATTTCTTTCCAACAYTGTTCCTTCAAGTGTGTTTCGTGGCTAGCTGTAAAATGGGGAGCAGTCTTTGATATGGGTTCATGGCTTGCRTGGCTGCCTTGAGATTATTTTAACAGTCCAGTAAGTGTCAATTACCTGAACTAAGTRCTTGATTTTTGTCTGTGGAGTTTCATGGTGAAGCAGGATCTTATATGTAGGTGCTGCTGTTTATTTGTAACTTTTAATTTGGTTACAGACTTSTGCTGAGCTGAGGGTAACCTCTACATTTTGCTTTATGTGCTCTTCCTCCTGGCACCGTTGCTCTTGCCCTTTACCTTGGATTGCTTGGTAGAGGTTGTTTTGATAAGAAAACATAGCATATTTTAGCCTGAAATTTCTATTTTTGACCTGATCTCCTGCTGCTTTGCCTCTAGGTTAATTTTTTGAAGCAGAGAAAGTAGAAAAAATCCTCTGTAGACAACTGGCCCCAAAAAGTGGTTGGTCTTTGAAGGCAATGTTTTCAAAGCACAGCTGCAGTTCAGAGATGCAGAATCAAACCAGTGCTGCAGAAGGCTGCTGTGGCTGAACAGGGAATTCCTGGCCGAGCTCAAACACTGAAGGACAAGGAATGGTCTGGGAACAGCAGTAGGATTTACCGAGGGCAGGTTGTGTTTGATGAACTGGTTTGCCATCTGTATGAGGCGAATGGCGCAGGGGGTGAGGATAGAGCAATACACGGGCTTTGTGTTGGCCCTAGGAAGGCCTTGGAAATGATTATCCGTGTGGCCAAGTGGAGTAGATTGCCGGTGAGATGAGCCGAAAACTGCCTGGATAGGCAGCCCCAGAAGCTTGTGGTCTGTGCCTGGTCAGTGGTATAAATTCCAGCTAGGAGAAAGCTCCGTAGCCAGAGAGAGAGGCTGGGAAAATGGGCTGACAGGAAGGTCATGAGGTTGGGTAAAGGCCAGTCGCCAAATCCCGCATCTGCATGGAGTAACTCTGTGAAACAGTAAAGGCTGGGARCTAGCCAGGTAAGAAGCTGCTTTACCAAAGAGGACTTTGAGGTCTTGGTGCAAAAATATACCGTGATTCATCAGTGGGTATTTTAGATGTTACCATGCCCTTTTGAAGGAAGATCTACGTTAAGATTTAAGTCAAGGTGCCTGGCTTTCTGCTTAATCAAGTGCATTCCTGTTTACTTTGGAATACTGCTTAACTTGGATTTGAAGTGTTCATCAATTCCAAACTGAAAGGTAAACTAAATTATTCTAGACATTTTTTTAACAATATTATTTGGAAAGAAAGTACCTGTTCTGTAGGAATTTTAAGAAGAATAAGTTACTCGAAGTGGCAGGAGGGTTTGCGTGCGTTGATGGTGTAGTTCTATGAGCGTACAATTCCTGTTGCTACAGTTCTTTACATTGTWAAATCATTATTTTCTTCCCTTTGTGAGGAAGCTTGAATATATACACTTTGAACTAATGTAAATATTTTTAATTACAGCATTTGACACTGTGTACCAAAGAAATGGTGATGGAGAAGCCAAGTCCCCTGCTTGTAGGGCGGGAGTTTGTGAGACAGTACTACACGCTGCTAAATAAAGCTCCTGACTTCTTGCACAGGTAATGTTTCCATACCAAAGTGACTTATATTCTTAAAAAATGTTTTTTTCTTAAAAAAAAAGAACTTACCCTGTTCACCAGAAATTAGATAAACTTTCTCTTGTGAGTGTGTGCCTTTTGAATGTGCCAACTTCTGTGTTCTTGGAGACTATTTCAACTTAATGAAAATGAGTTAAGTTCTAGAAATTAATCTGATCACATCCTTGGGATGTATTGCATGTTATCAAGTTATTTCTTGTGTAGACAAGTGAACTGCTTTWCAGGTCATAAAATTGACAGCATTGACAGAAATTTTGTTCAAAATAGACTTAAAACAGAATACAGTTGCAGAGGAAATGCCTGTAGAACCTAAGGCAGGCGTGCAGACTATTTCAGGATTCCATATTTTGYATTGCCTCTGAAATGTTTTATCCAAATCACAGTTGGAGATTTCAGTAGAAATGTCAAGAATTGRATGAGGTAGGTGGAAAAGGAAGTGGTCTCATTCATCTGCAGCTATGATTTAAGCTGCATTCCAAAAGTGTTCCCTTTCTTTCCTGATGATGTTTGGCTACAGCTTATCACTTAAGATTTTGCATTTCCGCCTTTGGCCCTCAGAGGAGCGCAAACTTAAAATGGGTGAAGATGGACATAGCTTTGCCCATGTTCAAAGAAGCCATTACTTATGTGGGTTGCTTTCTCTCAGGCCTTGGCACAAGGCTAATGGTGAAAAATGAGACTGTTTAATTGATAACAAGCTAGAGCTTTCAGCTTACTTCCACATTGAGCTTTAGAAGCATGCCTCTCTTCACCTGTAGCATTGAGGTGAGGAAAAGTGAATGGTATCAGTTTTAGTTAAACAGCAAATTGTCATATATGTTTCCTACCTGGCTGCGTGAGTCGGTGAAGGGCCGCTAGCTGCGCCAGGTTTGCTTTCCACCCTCCTTCCCTTAGTGTTGCAATGGTACTTCCCCATTTCATCAATATCAGCACGCGCTGTGGATGCATTAAAGAACTAGTGTTCCTGGTACGTGTGGGATGCACGGTGATTTTTCCAGGTTGGAGAGGTATGTATGCAGTGTGTCATGGAAACACACGTGTTAAAACAGGTACCTGTAAAGACTTGTACCGTGTTGAAGACAACTTTGGTGCTTTCAAAGAGATGCTAGATGCTACCAACACACAATTAAGTCTCCAGCTTCTTGGAATAACTGTGAAATGCATTTTATCAACTTATGCTGTAGGCCTGTTGTGTTGAGTGGTCATGGGAGGTGGCTGTAGAGTATTGCTTAATGGGAGCAGTGAGTTTTCAGTACACACTCTTGATGAAAAATATTATCTTTTATATTAATATTAGCTTTTTGCTTGTTTTTAAGCATGTTTTTTGGGGAGATGAAGGGAGGAGTGCTGTTGTGACTGGTTAACTGCTTTCCAGAATGGCCCTGCCTCAGGTTGGGGGAATCTGGGTTGAGAGTTGTCAGGCAAGCTCTGCTGACGCAGTTGGTAACCTGCACTTGAGGAATGACTTGGGGCAGCTTGTTTTCTGAAAGTGTCCCCTTGCTCTCCCACTCAGAACTCTTAAGGACAGTATAACCACGTGATATGATAGGGCTGCCTAGCAGTAGTCAACTGCATTCACTTGAAATGTTGCACAAGTGTCACTAACAAGGGCATCTTCAATACAGAGCTGTCSGAGCAGCTGCTTTGATCTGGTTTCTTTAAACAAGCTGTCAAGATTGTAGCTGATTCTTGAGCTAGATGTGGGGAACTTATTCTAGCCAGTTTTAGTCTGGCTTGTTTTGTTGCTGTTGTTGCCCAGCTGGCTCCTCTTTCCTGCTGAGAGTCAGATGTGGCAGATGGGGTGTTCGCTACYTCTCTGGACCCACACTGCATATGAGCGATGGTCGTCTGCAGACCATCTTTCTTGTATCCATCTTATATCTSTCTTTCTCTTGCTCTTAATCTGATAAGCAGCAGGGTGCTTGCTACCATAAAAAGATTTTGCTTCTGAAGTCTTGGCACCTTTGGGCTAAAACACTTAGCAAAACTAAATCATTTTGCTTGATTTTTTTYTCAAGGCTATAAGCTCTACATCTCTCTACTTCTGCAGGTTTTATGGCAGGAACTCTTCCTATGTCCATGGAGGACTGGATGCCAGTGGGAAACCACAGGAAGCAGTGTATGGTCAAGCTGTGAGTATCAAAATTAGTGGTGTAGTTTTCAGCAATGTTCAGAAGTTATTGTGTGTCCCAGCCACAGTGGGAACTGGAGAATGGACCTCTAGGRCAGGAAGCAAAGCACTGAGGAAACTGGCATCTTGATGGATCTCATTTCAGTTAAAAATTATTCTTCGGGAAAGGAACTGTGGTCATTGAGACTTGTATTGAATTATGCTTGTTATCAAATTCTTCCGTAGGAAGTCTCTTAGGAGAATTTATTTCTTAAAATAACTTCTGAAGAAGCGGTTTTGCTCCAGAAGGCTTGGCCTTTCTATGTATATGTATATGTATATATGTACGTGTGTGTTTGTGTGTGTATATATATATACACTCTTATATTCTTTTGTATATATGTACATACTTACATATATAAGTGAAGATGAATCCTCCCTCTCTTCAGCAGGCCCCTTAAAAATGTTAAAATGACTCATAYATAGTAGTGCAACTGGAATCACAGAATCAAACCTGGAATATYGGATAGCAAGTTGTGATGTATTTGACTCCTCTTATAAGTACTTTAAAAGTGCAGACAAAGAATTATTTTAGCCCAGGTAGGCTGTTTTGGGTGAAAGACAGAGTTTTGTTCCTTTGTTTGCTTTCTGAGCCTGAGCAGGGTGTTTTTTTCACAGTAGTTCAGGCTCAGGTTTTTAGAAGTTTTAAAGCTCTGTACAAAATTSCATGCGGCTAAAATGTAACTCTTCCTTTCTAGGAGATCCACAAAAAAGTGATGTCCCTACAGTTCAGTGAATGTCATACCAAGATTCGCCATGTGGATGCGCACGCCACTTTGAGCGATGGGGTGGTTGTGCAGGTGATGGGAGAGCTGTCCAACAACGGGCAGCCCATGAGGAAGTTCATGCAGACTTTCGTCCTTGCTCCTGAAGTGAGTGCATCCAAGGGTGTGTTTGACTGCAAGGAGTGAGGATGGAAGCCTGTACAGCCCACACAGCCCTGCAGCCTGTAGCTGGGGTCTGTCTTAACGGGCTGCAAGATACTACCTGGCCTTCAGTGCTTGGCCAAAAGGCTAGGACTGTATGTGCCACAGTTCATGAATGCAGAATAATGAGTGTATTGGACCTGTCTCAAGCTCTTACATTTTTCTAGACTTGAGGTGTCCAAAGCAAAAACTTGTGTTTAGGAAGAGCTGTCTGCATGACCAGCTCTGTGCATGAGTGTGTGTATTGGTTAATGCAGTGCAAGTCACTGCTCAAGTAAGTTCAGTTCTTGGCAAGAGTGGAGCCATGTTGTGGTCAAGGGTTTCTTTTATTCTTTCTGTATTTACCCCCTGTTTCATCAAAAACTATTGGATTATTGATTATTAATGCGTCAGGGCTTTATTGTTTTTTTTTTAAGCAGTAATATGAGTAATCTTGTGAAYGATCAGTTTGTTTCTCATTTTTTATTAGAAAAAAATCACAGGCAACTTGATGAATCTAATAAGATTTAATGTATAGTTAGGCCCTATGATTACCCTGCTTTAGCAAAGGTTGTAATATTCTGCTAGAAACTTTTCGTCTTTTGGGTGGGTTGAAGTGGCTGTTGGATTGCTTCTTTAAAGAACATACGCCACCTGGAAAAGGATTTTAAGAAATAGGGCTTTTCCAAAATCTAGGTGTCCAAAACTTAGACCTCTATCCTTCCTGTCCATGTTGATAACTGCTAATATACGGGACTATATCATATATCATGCCCTCCCCAAAAATGTACGTTTGTCTTTTACAGGGATCTGTTCCAAACAAGTTCTATGTCCATAATGATATCTTCAGATATGAAGATGAAGTATTTGGAGATTCAGAAGGAGAACTTGATGAAGGTGAGAACTGTGTTTCTGGCATACCAGAGCTTGCCTTGTGCTTGTTCTTTCGGCATAGGTGTAGTGTTTCTGCAAGCGTCTAGAGGAAAGGTAAAAAGGAAAGATAAAAACTTATATTCTGCTRTCATGGAGTGTAGTAATTTAAAAGCAGGGGGAGAGAGTGTAGATTATGTTGTTGTGACTATCTGCTGCTCCACAACAGTCTCTGTAAACCTGAGCGCTTGTTGTAGTGCCCTGTTCTCTGAAAGACTAAACTGGTTTCGCTGATAACGAAGGGCAGCCAAGGAAGCAGTTCCACTTTTCTGCAGCTGAGTTTCTTTACGTAGAGTTGATTTCTCTTGTCAGTTGGATTTGTAGGTGAAGCAATTTGAATAAAATCTAACTGACTTTTTTGAGTAGAAGATATAACTTGCTTTCGTATCATCACCACCTTCAGTGGTTCATTTCTGCCCACAAGCTGAACTCAAGTTTCTTCTCAGGTTTTTTTCCCTTGTTCGCTGAGCCAGAGCAAACCAAAGAAGAGTAAAGATGAGTGTGTGCACACGTGTTCACGGGTTACTGCTGGAATTTCCATCATCTTTTTTGTGCAACAAAATATCTYGAGCAATCATCCTCCTTGCGTTTGAGGTTAACCTGTTAGCTTTAGGTACTGTGATTTATGAGCAGGGGGTTTAGACTTRCTTTACTAAAGCCAACATATGGAAAGCATGTGATGCTTAAAAACATCCCCAAACCTTTCTTGCAGAGCTGCTTTCCAACAACACCAAAAGTCCTCCTTTTAAGACAATGGTAAGAAGCAAAGCCTCACGAAAGAGCAGAAGAGTGTTTTCCCTTGTTGTCGTGCTTACTTACATTGCTGCCAGTTGAATGTGCTTCCATTTTAAGCGTGGCTTGTGTGCATTTGCAGATCCATATTCATAGATTTTTTTCGCTTGTGCCAGAATCTGAAGAAGAGGTGGAAGAGGAGCAGGAGGAAAGGCAGCCCTCCCCTGAACCTGTGCAAGAAAACCCGAGCGGTGCTTACTATGAAAACCACCCTGTAACGTAAGAAATGCATTATATTAAATGAAGTTGCTTTTTTTTTAAGAAAACCAGAATCATTTTGGCTTTTGGTCAATCTGGAGGTGATTTAATGGGTTTAGGAAACCCTTAAGTTTGTTGTGGAGTTATGTCACGCTGCCTTCTGTTATTCTAAACATGGATTCTTGAATGAGGAAAGGAAGTGGAAGATCTTCTTACCTGTGTTGGTTATTTCCACTTCTGGTTTCAAGTATGAAGTGGGAAGGCAGCAAATACATTTATGTATACACTTACACTAGTCTCTGTTTCATAAAATTATAATGATGAGTTGGTGTGATGTAATTCATATTGAACAGAAGGTTTAACAACGGGGTGGTCAATGAAGCTACTCTTTAAATTTGGGGAGCACTTGAAACAGAAAGAAAAGACTAATTTTGGAGAAGTTGTTTTACAGCTGTATTGGAAGAGTAGGTTTGTGCTGCGGGTGTCTTAAAATCTAAACTGCATGAAAGAAAAAAGCTTCTTTATAAGAAAAATATATTTTATAAGAAATTACACTTTTTCAAAGGCAGGAAKGCCTTTTAAGGGCCAGAGCTCACCAATAATAATAATGATGAATTTACCGAGATCTCTAAAAGAAGAGGGGAGTCTGCTGGAATTCTGGCGCTGACTTGCTCAGGGTCATGCAGAGAGGTTTTGATGCCTGATGCTATCTGGAAAGAACATGAAAATGTGGGATTCAGCAGTTGGTCACTTAGACATGTACAGCAGGAGGAGCAGCACCTGTGTCTTTAGTCGTGTAGTTACAGCTATGGGGAATTTGATAACTTCTTGGGTGGTTGGAATAGAAAGATAAAGAACTCCAGAGCCCTAACATGGAATACATACAGAAGAGAAAATGAGTTGCATGTAACTTTCAGTAAACAAAACCTGCAATTCCTTTGGTCATGTACTTGTATGGCAGTCGCTAAGGAAGCAGTTGGTACGCTTCCAAAATCAGCTTAAATTTACGTGTGGCTTAACCTTCTGTTGGGCTGTGCTACTTGCCTGGTAGAAACGGTGCTGCGTGTGTGTAGCATCTATTCCTTAAAGGGCTTACATGCCTGCTATGGTATTGACATTCCCTGCAGGGAATTGCAAATCATGTCTTCATTTTAGTAGAAATACCGTTTGTTTCTTTGTAGGCAACCAGAACAGGACAGCTTAAATTCTTATGAGAACATATGTGTAGATAACACGTGGTAGCAACTTGGCCACAGGATAATCATTTTAATAACCATCTTTACTGTAGTATCGTTCTTAAAATATCAGGAAATAGTAAGCAGTGAACTAGCGACTAGCTGCATAAAATGCTTCTGCTTATTGTAGTAATGGGATAGAGGAGCCACTAGAAGAACCATCTCATGAACCTGAGCCGGAACTGGAATCGGAAACAAAAACCGAGGAGCTGAAAGCAGAAGTAGAAGAAAAGACCCTTGAAGAGCTAGAAGAGAAGTCTCCATCTCCACCTCCCGTAGAACCTGTTTCGCTACCACAAGAACCACCAAAGGTTAGTTAAAAATCATATCTGTGCTTGTAGCGGAAAATGGTAAACCAAAACATTTGATTTTTTAAATTAGCCTTTTTGAGTGGCCAGACTCATATCTGTTTTCATTGTCATGCTGTATGAACAGTTTGACTTAAACTTTTAACCTGATTTTTGTTTAAAAAAGTATTTAGCCAAAAAGGAAATAATGTTATTTTAAAATGTTACTTGAGTCACCTATTGTAAATACGTTCTGCTTGTGTGTGTGTGTGTGTGTGGTTTTATGCATGTGTAAACCTTTTTAAATGTGGAGTTGAGATGTGTTTTAAACGACAAAAAAAAGAACACCAACAACAAAGCCCTCAAGTAATGGGAACCACTATTCTTTCCTGGGGAAAAAGCAAAGAAAGAAGAAAAAAAGAAAAGAAAAACATAATAATGCATTGACACTTGCAAACTTGCCATCAGTATAGCTTTAAAGAGCATGAGGGCTTGGAGTGTGTCCCTTAGAGGCAGAATGTCCCATCTTGCAACCCCTAATGCCCACGCCAGGAGCCCTGTGATGCGGTTACACCAGGTAGCGTGAAGGAGAGGGGAGAGGCCCTGAAAACTGGAGAGCTCCTCCTCCAGCTCCAGTGTCGGTCTCCCCCGCTTTGCCAATCCTTTTCCTCTTTCCCATGTTAAGTTCTGACTTCTGGCATCCACTTTCTTTCGTTCTGCAGAAGACACTTACTAGCACAGGGTTTTCAGTCCTAGGTTTGGTTCCATCGTGGAAAGCAGGGATGACGGGATGCTGAGGGAGCTGAGCCCACTCAAGTATTCTAGTGAGTACGGGACATACCGGATCGATACCGTTGGACTCCACAGCTGCTTAGAACTGCAAGCCCTGCTGTATCTTGGATGTAATGCTAGTGCTACCATGATGTACCAGCTAGGTGTGAACCCAAAGTGTATTGTGAGCAGACGAGTTTCCCTGTAGGAATGTCAGTGGTTTGCCATGATTAGTAGCCTAGGTTTGTTGCATTTCCTGCAGGCTTTCTCTTGGGCTTCAGTGACCAGTAAAAACCTGCCTCCTAGTGGTACTGTTTCCTCCTCTGGAATTCCACCCCATGTTAAAGCACCCGTCTCACAGGTAACCCATCTGTGAACACCTTGGCTTGTCTCATTACTTCTGCAAACTGCTTCAGGTTTTTTTTTTTTTATTTATTTTTTTAATTAACAGATCAAATTGTATGACTTAAATTTCACAAATTAATTGTGTCTTGAATGTGAATGCACTCACCTTCTTGTCGCAACTGAAGGCATATACACTTAACACGTGTAACTGGGTGGTGGTCAAGTTAAAATCTGTTCATACGCAATCAGGAAATCACTATAGAAGGGTTTTTTTTTAACCGGTCTCACTGGATTATGGTTTGATCTAAAAAGAAATGCAAAAAAAGAAAAACCAAAAAAAAAAAAAAAAGAAAAACAAGAAAAACCCCAAACTAATAGTTTTCTAATGCATATGCAAAAGGGGTATTTCATTGGCAGAAGTGCCCCAGCAGGAAAAGGCTTTGCACCTTTTTTAAGTTGGGCCTTGTAAGCCTTATCCCTTACAAAAAGCCTTTGGCCTCCATTCTCCATTTATACAGAACCCTGTACCAACTTATGACTGTGTGAGGAATGGAAGGATTCACATTTCCTGGCCAGGACAATGCTGTCYTCCCATTCCTGAGTTTATTGCGGGAGGAGGGAGAGGAGGAAAGAAAGTTTGACCGGGTGATAGCTCATGTCTTGCACGTGCCATGTTGCTGTGAGATGACCTGAGACTCTCAATTTAGCTGCCTCCAGGCAAACAAAAAGCCCTTGATGTAAAAAGCGTGTGTGTTAATTTGTTTTACTGTTGTTGTGTTCCACAAACACGTATATTGTGTAACTCAGGTCCCACCTTTTAAAAAAACTGCAACTTTTAGCAGAGCAGCTGTGTTACTGCAGCWGTTGTTTTTGCAGTGATTTCTTCTCCCTCTTTTACTGGCAGAGAGGAATCAGCCTAGGATTGCTCTTCAGCCAAGAGCATGTTTCTTAAAAGAAAAAAAAAAAGAACCTGCCTTGTATAATTATTGCAATTATTGCTGCTTGTGCGAGAAGATTGTCGTGAAAATCAGATAACGGCTACGTAATGAGCTGGGAAGCCTGCCTGTTTTCATCAGCTTCAGAGGGCTTTGAGCATTCAGGTGGTATTTGAGCAGTCAAGAAGAAATTCCTTTTTAGGGCAGAGTAGATTTTCCTGAAACAAAACCAAAGTATTGGGTTTTTTTTTTTTCAGTGCAGTTTCAGTTGCAGTGGAGAGAACAGATTTGTCCTTGAAGAATCACGGAGAATGATCTGGACGAGAGAATAGTTTCCAGATGTCCAGTTGAACCTCCTCTGTGTTGCTCCTGCAGCCTGTTCCTGCTTTCCACCTTTTAGATTATGTTTGCTCTGACTTGATGTTCAAYTAATTTTGCATGGAAGTTCTTGAGCAGGAGCGGAACAGGCAGGATTTTACCTCTCTTAACTCTCTGGAGCCAGGCTAATCTGTTCTCACTTGCTTCTCTTGCCTGCCTTTCAGACGTGGCGTGCAGAAAGCTGCTGGAAAAGGCACCCAAACTATTTCTAACGGGCTTCCAMAGCAGCAGCAGGTTATTCCCGTTCTCTTGCTTTCATTAATGTCTGATGCAGTGTGTAGAAACAAGGAGAGTAGGTTGCACCAGTGAGTGGGTAGGAGATGCTGTTCCAACCAGCATCYGGGATGTTACCAAACAGTCAACAACAAACTCTTTTTCTCAGCCCTCCTGTCATTTGATTTTTATTTTCCCCAATTTTTAGCAAGTTTAAGTGGAAGCTCCATAGAAAAACTCATAGGAAGTGTCTCAGATATAAACCCATTCCACTCCTGTTGATTGACAACTGTGGAGTTAAACAGTTTGGCATTCCTTGCTGAGGCAACCCTTGCTGGTTTTCTCTCTGTGGATGATTAGAAATTGCCACTGAGTAATAGCAGCTTGCAGTGATAAGTTGGATCATCTCTTTACAGCAAAGAATAGATTTATCTTTTAACCTGGGGATAGCTGATACGTGTGAGCTGTCTCCGAGAGCTGGTGCAGACCGAGTGCTTGGAGTTTTACCAGGAAGTTGAAGAGAGGACCTGCTGCAAGAGTGAGAGAAGCCCTTGCCCCTGTTAGGAACTGCCTTTGCTTGCCCTGCGCTCCCTAGCTCCATGGTCTGTATAAGGGGAAAGCCATCCTGACTTCTGCTGGCATTAAGGCAGGACCTAGCCTGGCACAGCAAGCAGAGTTTGCCTTTCCTTGGCCTTTCCTTGGGCTTGGAAGGGGTGATGCAAGATGAGGTTGGGGTTTATTCAGGCTTCATTCGCCTCCCCACCTAAAACTTCTGTAGACTTTAAAGAGATATTGTTTGCTCTGCGAAGGGATCTGTGCATTAAACTAACAGTCCTGGCAGTCCGAGGCATTTTAAGGTTGGCTCAAGTTTTAGGTACTGAAGTTTAGCCGAAGAGGGGGATCTGAAAGCTCCTCTGTCTTCTCTTGGTTTAGGGTGCCTAGTGGTTTGGTCTTGGTCGCTACTGTAAATTATGGTGCCTTCTGGAAGTGATTGACAAGTGCCCTTTAGAGGGGTCCTATGGGACTCCGAGGTGCCATAGAAGCCACCTGGTGTCTGCATCTGGCCTAAGTGCTGGAATTAGCTGAGGAGGGGCGCGCGTTTTGCTGTCTGTGGCGCCGTGCGGCTGGGCTTTGGTGTACGTGTGTTTGCTCTGGGGCAGGTGTCTCGCCATGGAGGAGCTCTTAAACCTTGACGGGTTCTGCAACAGACTTGCACGAGACTTGGGAGCCACCTCGGGTCGGGCCCTCGTGCCCCGTCCTGCACTGTTCAAGGGGGTATTCTCTTCATAGTGAGTAAAAGCTGCTGGCTACCCATTCTGCTGTCATCCCCAGTAGCGTTGCAGGGGCAAAAAGCAGCCCATTTCCTTCTCGTTCAGAGCTCGAGGAGGGAAAAGAGACAACATAATCGTTTCCATAATGAAGAAGGCTTCCTTAGGTTGAGCTTAGTGGCACAACTTGCTCCGAGGCAGAGCACTCCTTGCGCAAATCCTTCTTCTGTGAAGGAGAAGTTGCCGGGAGCTGCTGCTCAGGCTGTAGCTGGCAGCTCGTTGCAGGGATCTGGTTGTGCTGCCGACGCTCGCGGTGTTTCGGCAGAGCAGGGCCTGGCAGGAGGGTTCAGGGCACCGGGGAGCACCGAGGCAGTTCTCCCCTGAGCAAGGGGACGGCACTGATGAGAAAGCAGCGATTGAGATTGGGGTTTGGATTATTAATTTAGGTTGGTTTTAGAAAACTCAGCTGCTTTTGGTTAGGTAGAGAGAAAGTGTTTGTGTGTCAGGTGAGAAGTTCTGTGAAATGCAAAGCAGTTTTCTCTTGTACAGGATCTGGACGGTGCCATAGCAAATTTTCCCTATTGTTAGGGTAGAGAAAAGGTATTTAGTCCTGAGAGCAGGAAGAGCTTAAACGATGAAGAATCAAAAAGTCTTGGGCTTCTCTTTAAAGATGTAATTTTTAATGCAGTGAATATGTGTGAGTAAAYGATGCTGGTGATTATATATGAGCCAGAAGGAGGTATTAGGATTTTTCCAGCTAATTCTTGGGGTTGAGGTACTGATTGTGGAAATGTTTAAGACAAGGTAGTGTCTAGCTGCACAGAGCACGAGCAATAGTGGACCAAGACATTTATTTGGTGCAAAATACTTGTGCTTTTTTCATGTCTTTTTTTTCTCTGTTAGGAGTTCTCCAGTTGCAGCCCTTGAGTGCCCCAAGGAAAATAAGGGAGAGCACTTGATATAAACTCACTTTCAGCAGCAGGCTGATGTAATCTTATTCACAAGCTAGTGTTCGTCTTTAGACTGCTATGAACTATTTCAGGTTTCTGAGATAAGAGCCAAGTACAGCAGCAACTTCTGGACTGTGGTACAAAAAAAATGGGCTTCAAAAAGTGTTGGAAATGGCTTCATTATTCAACAAGCTGCTTGGAAATAGTTTGGAAAGTTCTGTCTTTTTCTTCTTCAAATTAAATTACCTTAAAGGCTTTTAAAGCTTTTTTTTTTTTTTATGCAAAGGTTTGAATTAAAATATTCTTGTTCCTGAGAATTTCAGGGTTGTCCTGTGTACATCAGGACCTCAACATAATGAAAGTTGAGGAAGAATCTCAGCAGCTAGTCTATAGAAATTGTTTATTCAGGTGGCTTTTTTTATATCAGAAATTTGCCTTTGTTTTATTTTGTTGTTGCTTTTCAGTAGTTGCATTATAGTTCTCCAACATCCTAGATAAAGAATCCTTCAGAGGCTCGGATAGGAAGTATGATTTCTCCATTTCTTCATGTTTGTCTTGGATTACCTGCTAATCTTTGAACTTGGAGCTTGGCAAGAGGAAGTTTTATTTGATCTACATGGGGTTTTAGCCAGATCAAAGGGTTCTTGAATTACGGGACGCTGAGGATCTCAGTGCTTGGTCAAACACAGAAAGTGCATTTTAGCCCAGCTTTTTGGGAAATGTTCCGATTCGGAGTTGTTTGCTTTGCACCTCTTAGACAAATTGAACACTGCAGTCCTGGATTGGTACAGAGGAATTTATAGAGGTGAAAACACTCTATTTCTAAACACAAACCCATGATGTGGATGCATACCTTCCTGCGTTCGTCTTGTGCATGCCACTTACCTGTCTTGTGTGTTTTTTGGTTTTTTGATATTTGACTGCTTCTCTTCATTACTGCCTGGTGTTTAATAATGTTTTTTTTCCTCCTGTTTCAGCCAAGAGTTGAAACGAAACCGGAAGCTCAGTCTCAACCTCCTCGTGTACGTGAGCAGCGTCCAAGGGAAAGACCAGGTTTTCCACCCCGAGGACCTAGGCCAGGTAATGGGGATGGGTTCCTGCTCCTGCTTGGGGCTAGTTCGACAGAGGGGTCTTGCCTGTTACTRTGAACTGTCCTTGGCTGCTGATGGTCATTTCTAGTCACTTAAGTCACTTAAAATCTCTTRCAGGTTAGTCATCTGTATCAGGGAGTAAAGGCTGCAACTTGARGCTAAGCAAGGTTGCAGAAGTGCATTACTGCCACTCGTGGGTGGAGGTGCAACAAAACCATAGCATTGGCCCAACAGAAGAGCTATAACAGAGCTTGACTTAGTGTTCTCACCGTGAGGGAACAGGGAGGAAGCAGGGACAGGAGAGAAATGGCAACGATGTCACTTCACCAAATGGCAGATGTTCTGCCCTCGGGTCTTATTTTCAGATGAAGTCTGTGAGCCTGGATCTGCTTGATGAACCTGTTGAAACAGCCTAGCAAGGTTTTTGCAAAGGGGCCCGTGGGGGARGCAGGGGGCTCCTAGGGGTGCATAAAGCACAGGCGGGGCGAGAGTGGCCCTGGTCACATCACAAGGTAGGCAGCGAGCTGCAGGTCTCTACACTGCCTGTTGCTTAACTTATTTATTGCATCTAGCGTGAGGATGAGAAATGCTGTTTAGGCAATGTGTGCGAAAATGTAACTAATTTAACCAATAGTTCTGTTTCCACTGAGGTGGTGAGAATGTTAGAAACTTCTGTTTGGGACAAAATGATGGAAGATGAGAGCCAGAAGAAGTGACTGTCAAAAATCGTTTTAATGTGGGGGAAAGATAAAGATGTTGTTGTTGTATTAAGGAATTGGCTGAGAGGTGACTTAAATCCAGATTTTTTTTGGGGGGGGGAAAGAACATTATAGTAGGTAGCAAGCTTTGTTCCCATATGATTTATTAAGGACCGTAGTGAGATTTCCCCCCTGACTCCTTGAAAAAATCTTATGGCATCTTAAATGGAATTTTTAGTGCTATTTTGTTTCTGTTTGTTGTACAAACTTACAGGTTTAACTTTCAGAAGATACAATAGGATYGTCTCACATGAGCTTACCCAGTATAGCCGAGGTATTAGTTAACAGCCATTGATTTAACCTAACTAGGAAAACTAGGTGAAAAGAGAACCTAACTTTGGGTTGTTATTGCAGAGCAACAGCAACGGAGAGGTGCTCGTAGGTGGCCAAACTGTGAGGGCTGCACGGAGGGGAACGTCCTACCTCCCTTCTCCTGTTGCCCATGTTAAACAGCAGCCCAAGACCCGAGAGCACCGAAGGCCTTGCCTTTCTTACATGYGTTTGTCCGAGTCTGCACACAAGTTCTAACCTTGGTGGCTCTGCTTCTCTGTTCTGTTGGTGGCAGGGAGAGGGGATATGGAGCAGAACGAGTCAGATAACCGCCGAATAATCCGCTACCCCGACAGCCACCAGCTCTTCGTTGGCAACTTGCCGCACGACATCGACGAGAGTGAGCTGAAAGAGTTCTTCATGAGTGAGTAGCAATTGCAGCTGCAGCCACCCAGCAGAACAGAAGCATCTTCTGCCTTGACAAGCCTYGGCCCATTCACTGGCATGGGGAGGCTGTCGTGTGCTGTAACGTGACGGGTCCCAGTGCTGAGAGCGTTGCCTCTGCTGACTTGGTTCCCTGCTTGTGCTTTCCAGGCTTTGGCAACGTGGTGGAACTTCGCATAAATACCAAAGGAGTGGGAGGCAAGCTGCCCAACTTCGGTTTTGTGGTGTTTGATGACTCCGAGCCAGTCCAGAGGATTCTAGTTGCAAAAGTAAGTATGAGCAGTGGGTAACTGTTGCAGGAGGGAGAGAACGCCCGGAAAGCCATGTGGCGGGGGCTCTCCTCATTCCTCCTGCTCTTGTTTTTGCCGTTCATCCATCTCCTGCTCTCTCCTCATGAGCAGATGTTAGAAAAACACTGTTTTGGCACAGCTGGTCTGTCAGGAGGACTTTCTGGCTTGCATGAGCTGTGCCCGGGCTCCTCAACAGCGAGACACTGACTTGAGGTTTGGGACCTCAGCACGCAGACGCTGTGTGCAGCTGAGCCCTCCTGTTACACACCCTTGTAAGCCGCAAACTCGGGACCTAAGCCTTTGAAGGGCATCRCATAAATCACTGGCTTGTGTGTCCTGGGGTTCAGAAAAGGAGCGTGGTTATTGGGAGCTGAGGAACTGGAGGGGGAAAGGGACAAYTTGTATTTGTAGTACGTGGGAGGAAGGCCTGATGGAGCAATTATGGAATTATTTTTTCCATCAGGCAGGAATTGTAGCCTTGAAGTGAAAAGGCCCAAACAAATCCTTATTTAAGAAGGAGTTTTTTAATCCTTGCATGCCAGATGAATTTTCAGTTTTCTGTAGAAACTGAAGGCCGAGTTGTGTGTCTCGGGGAACTGTTGACAGTTCCTGTTTCTCCGTCACCTCTAAGGGAAGGTGGGTGGAGGAGAGCAGGCAAGGGAGCGTTTTCGTGCGCCTTGTGTCCGCGCCTCCCGGGAACGCCCCCTAACCCCGTGCCTCGAAACCTTTTCCCCGTAAGCCCATTATGTTCCGTGGCGAGGTGCGCTTGAACGTGGAGGAGAAGAAGACAAGAGCTGCCCGCGAGCGCGAGACCCGCGGCGGAGGCGACGACCGCAGGGACATCCGGCGCAAYGAGAGAGGCCCCGGGGGGCCCCGCGGAATAGTGGGAGGCGGAATGCTGCGGGAGCGGGACGGCAGGGGCCCCCCGCCCCGCGGCGCCATGGCACAGAAACTGGGCTCCGGCCGAGGAGCGGGGCAGATGGAAGGCCGCTTCACGGGACAGCGCCGCTGACGTCCCCGCTGCGCGCACGCCGGCTCCGCAGTGGTACATTTATCCATCGTGTTTGCGTTCTCTTGTTAATTTTTTTTTTCTTTTTTTTTTTTTTTTTCCTTGGCTTTGGAATGTGACACAGCCCTTCTGATCGTTTCTTTGATGTGAAAGCATCCTTTGGTTTCCGGTTTAAATTGAGGTGGACGTTCTTTCCCCAGTTTCACGACAGGAGTCACGCTGTTAATTTATAAATGTAGACTTGGAGAATTGAGGACTGAAACAAGAGAAAAAAAAAAAAAAAGAAATGACCATTCAAACTTATCTGCAACAGAAGTGAACTAAAGGACATGCCCAATAGAATTGAGGTCCTTCCAGTCAAAAACCCTCTGCTGCACATTTTGTGTGAGTGTTACGGTTCCTGCCTGTTACTGTTGGAAACACAAATAGTGCAATTTGTGCAATTGGAGAAGCTGGCCTTGGTTTTCCTTCTTAGAACACGCGGCTCCAAACAAACTTTGTGTTTACGCACTCATCCAAATGCACTAAAGGGTACTCTGAACTCATTTGTACTGACATCTGCAGGAGGCATCGGAGGAAAACAACCCTTCATCCTCTTAACTCTGACAGAATAGCTTGGGAAATGATGCGGGCATCTGATCTGCTTGCTGTGACCAACATACGTGCACACGCAAACCTTAATAGGACTACGAGTATTTTCCACACGGAATCCATTTAGTGGCAAAGGAAACAAMCCAGGGTTTCCAAGTCGTACTCCTGAATACTAAACCAAGTTTGATAGCTCACGTCAGGTTTTTCTATCTGCCCCTCTTGAGTACAGGGATGGCTGCTCCACACACTCCTCCTTCCCCTTTCCCCTTCCCAAGTAAGCATTGTACAGTGAAAATTGTCTTGACTGTATTTTGAGTTCTCTGGTAATGTAATAAGCATGATGGTGCCTTCTATGAATACATCATTCCAGTCTTGCTGGTGATTTTGTACAGTATAGTGTATGAATTACTGTGCTGCAAAGCCAATCTGCTGCAAAGCGTTTAAAAGAAATCATTGAAAACAAAAAAAAATGTATTAAAAATTGCAGTATCTTTGAATCAGTAAACATGGCTAAAATTATCATTCACCTTGCTCTTCAATTAACAAGTTCGTCTGTTTTTTTGCAGAGGGGGGAAGGGAGGARGAAGGCATCCAAGTAGTCTCCGGGTTGTCTCTTTGCTTTAATCTGTGTCAAAGTTAAAGACAACGGAGTCAAAATCTCTCTTGGGCGTTTCAGAAGTCAGTCCAGAACTGTGACCGATTTTTGCCGGCTTGCAATCAGTAGGACTGAGCATCCTTTGGGAGGGTGAGCTTATCGAAAGAGAGGATACTGCAATTTTCAGAGAACAAAACAGCAGCTCTAAGTRTTTGCTTTTTCCAGTTGGCGCCTTTTGGGGTTTTTTTTTGTTGTTTTTTTTCCAATCCTTACTCATTTTGCACATAACTCTCAGCTGCAGTTGACACTCGTGCGGCTCTGAGCTCGCGGGCAGAGAGGAGACGTCCCCTCCTTGGCTTCTGCGGGCGCCTCGGGCAGGTCGGGGGCTCCAGGTCCCCGTTCCTGCGGCAGGATCAGAGGGCAGGGGTGAGAGTGGGACCACCTAAAGCTGCTCCTAAGCAGGGAAGACCTCGCCCCAAACAGCAGCTTCAAGCGAGAGCAGATAGGGCGTAAAGGCAGCCTGCCTCTCGATGGTGCAATCACCCGCTCTGCTCTCCTAAGCTGGAAGATTTTGCACACTGCTTGTGTCTGATGTGTTAGGCGAAGTGAAATAGCAGCCCTTTCTCCCAAACTCGAGGTCTTCTGTGTTGGATGGTAAGTCTTGCACTATTTTCATACATTTTTTTTTTTCCAGGACACATTTCTTGTAGTTTCCATTTTCACATTACAGCCTTTTTCTTTCTTTCTTTCTTTCTTTCCTTCTGTTTTGGCTCGGCTCTTGCGTTGTCCGCGGTTACTTGCAAATCTCAATGACTTGAACTGCTCGGCACACGACCGAAGCGGGGCTGAAGCGCTCGGCCGCCTCGCTGCCTTCAGTTCAGTTTGCCCCCCGCGTGTTTTGGGGGGCTCGTTGGCCGTGTCCGGTGCTGYGGTGCTTTGCTGCCACCCATCCTGTGGTTTGGCAAAGGGCACCGGGAAGAATCCCGACAGGAAAAAGTGGAGTATTTCACAGAGCCATTCCGCTTTCTGGCTTGCTTCTCGTTCAAGTGACATCAAATAAAGACACAGAAACATCGGGACGTCATCGAGAGAAGTTTACACGGTGATAGTTCACCTACTGTACTGTGGACTCTTACATGTTCTTGACCCTCTTATCGTAAATGTACCTCTTAGAGCAACGGAAGGGATTCACTGACCATTACTGTTAGTTGCTGATTTGTGGATGGTGGGAGTATTTTATCATTACGGTTCGATTTCAACAACCTTGGCTGACCATCTTGGCTTTAGTGGGTATAAAAGACAGTGGATTACCATCTTTATTGCTGTAACGTGTCAAGCATTATATGCTAGTAGATTCTAGTTTAATTGTTGCAGGTGGAGAAGTATTTTTACTTTTAAGTTTCCATTCTGAATGTGTTTTGACTAAACATACCAATAAACTACTGATGTCTGCAGCATTTATCAGTGTCCCTAATCCTCTTGMACGTAGGTTGGTGGAGAGCACGATTGCAACCCTTACGATGCAGGAAACGGATTTAAAAGGTGAATTTTCTGGCTTGTCGACCCATGGGAAGCCCCTGGCCCTGCCCTCCCCTTGGCCGGGCAGCCTCCCTGGTCTGCTCTGGTCTCCGAGGGCTGCCGGATCTCGACCCCATTGGGGCTGATCCCGCTCCAGAGCTGAGGGGCAGGAAAAGCCGACACGCTGGGGCTGGGCCGCACGCGGCCAGCGACACGGTGCCTGTGCCGCAGGCTGATGCGGCGGCTCCGCTCAGGCCGGGCTCCCCTTGACCTGTGCCCGGCTTGGCCCTGCTCCTGCTGGGGTGCATGGGGGTCCCCTTGACCTGTGCCCGGGTCGGCCCCGTGGCGCCCGCAGAGCTGGCGGCCCCGGCGGCTGCGGTGCCGGCCCCGGGCGCCCTGGGAGCAGGAGGTCTCGGAGCTGCGGGCCGCGTCCAGCGCTGCGGGAATGGGGCAGACGGAGGGTCGCGCYGTGACGTGGCAGCGCCCGGGCGTGTGCGTCGGTAGCCGCGGCAGGTAGTGCCCCAAGCTCCTTGCTCTCGGCYGCGGTGTCTCGTGATACTGAGGAACGTGTTCTCAGGCTGCAGCACAGCCCTTGCTTTCCCCCTCCCTACCCGTGCCGGCCAGGCCCGTGCCATGGTTGGCCCGGCACAAAGGACGGATCCTGCCGCGCGTGCGGATCGGTTCTGTCTGAGGCAGGTTCAGAGCCGTGCGCTCCGTCACTCGCGCCCAAGGTTCTGCTGATCCCTGCCTGCTGTCTCTGCAAGCCCTGTGCCCAGCACAGGCTCTRCTAACTGGGAGAAGCGGAATCAGTTGGGAAGCTGGGAAGGAAGCAGCATGGATATGGGAGCCGCAATACGAAGGGGACGAGCACATCCTGCAGCAGACCCGCAAGCCGGGCTCGCTGAACGCGCCGCTGCTGCGGGGCGGCCTCGGCTGCTCTGAGAGGTGTAAGCGCAAAGGGGCCCCACGACGTGGCCTCCCGAAGCCTTGGGGCCTTTGGGGGGCTTTCCCAGGTAGGCTGGCACAGGCTTGCGGGTGGGCAGGGGGCTGGGGAAGGGAGCAGGGCCAAACGGTATCTGCAGACGGATAAAAGCCAACCAGGTCTACCAGGACCCCGCTGAACTGGTAACATGAGGGCTTAGATGCTTGAGGTCTTAAAGGAGCAGGTTTTGTTGTTACCTTCAGAGCAACGTTACAGCTCTGCGAGCAGTGGCGGGTGAGGATTGGTTTGTACCGGCCGTGTGTTTTTGTAAGGTTAAAGGGGAGCAAGGGCCAGGCATCAGGTACTGGCCATCCCTCAGGGACCACWGCGTGCTGCTCACAGAGGAGACGTCGTCGGAGGCAATTTGGAGCCTCCCGGGCTGGACCGTGGGTGGGCGCTCGCCGTGGGGCCTGTGGGGCGGCCCCACTGCCTGGGGGGTGCAGTGCCCTCCGCCCTCCCCGGCGGCACCGCTGCCCACGCGCTGCCCACGCTGAGGCCCTGGGCCCCACCTCCCTGGGTGAGCTCCAGGGAAGAGCCCGGAGGCACAGCGAGTGCTGAGGAGGCCTCTCTGTATTTCGGGCTATAAGGATCCAACTTAGAAAGGTGGATTTGTTTTAAACAACAGTAAAGGAGAGCAGGTAACCTGGACAACCTTGAGGAAGYCCAGCTTGGCCTTGGTTAAAGCTCAGCTTCTCGCAGAGGGAAGAAAAACAGTCCAGGACCTGGGTGTAGCTGTCGGTCACTCCTGCATCTCTTGGTCTTAAATGGACACTGAAGGAACTAGCGATGGAGCACCTGATACCTCCCCCCGGTGCTTTGCGCTGCCTCTCACAGTGRGAGCAGCATGAAAGGATAAAGTAGAGGGTGCCTTTGATAGGCCCCGACAGACTGGTCTTGTTTGCTGCCTGTCTGAAGGTGTCTCACTTGGCAATAGCAGGAGGCAGAGGCCCGGTCTGTCCTTGTCTGCTCTCCTTCTGGGCTCTGCTCCCTTCTGGCGCAGCAGCAGCCTGGTCGTGGCTGCTGCGTTTGGTTTGTGCCTGGAGAATGGCTGCGTGAGCCCCGCGCCTGGATGGGGACAGTGTGGGTTTGGGCCCAGGGGGTGTTTTAAGGCCAGTGAGATGCTGCAGTGAGCGCCGGTGCCCAAGGGCTTGGGCTGGGCTGTGGGGAGCCGCCGGAGGGGCCCTGGGAGCTGAGGCACCGGTCGCGTGTCAGGGAGCCACTGTCTGAAGGGCGCATGAGGCCCTGGGCACAGCGAGGCCGAGGGGTGACGTCTGGGTGCTTCTCTGGCAGGTCCCAGCAGAGCGGCACTGTGGGGACATGCGCAGCTCGTGCCACACTCGTGCTCGTGTTCGTGCTTGTGTTCGTGCTCATGTTTGCGCCGTGCTCGTGCTMACACCCAGTGGGATGGTCCCGCTTGGCCCCGGGGAGCAGCCATTCACCCTCACGGAGCGACCCACGGTGCGGGGCGCCCTGTGGCTCTGCTGCCGACAGGGCGGCTATGTGGGTGCTGGGGGTGCAGGGCAGGGGCACAGGGTGCCAGCTGCGGCCTCTCGTGGCCCTGCCCGTGCCACCTTTGCCACAGCAGCGGTGCCAGAACCGCTCGCCCGCCCCGCTGGGCCGGCCCCTGCGTGTCCTTCCAGCCAGCAGCCAGGGCAGCTGCTTCCCTCCYCGCGGGAGGCCCCTTGCCCGGAGGGGACGTTTCCCTTGCCCAGGCGCCAGTGCCAGCCTGGGCTCCAGGAGACGCCGTCTCCTCTCCTGTCTCGGTGCCCTCCTGCCCTTGGCTCTGGGCAGAGCTCAGGATGTGCCTTGTCYCCTGTGCTCAGGACACACGGCTGAAGCTCTGGCTGGTGCAGAGCCCCATGGAGCTCAGCGAGGCTGACCTGGGCCCTGCCCCAGGTTTGAGCTGCACTGAAGTGGGTGCTGCTGCAGACCCTGCTGCTGGGTGCCCGGCGCCAAGGCCGCAGCACAGGGCTCGGGCATGGGGCAGGTTTGCCCAGAAGTGCGACCGTCTCCTGCGGCCGTGCAYAAGTGCCTCCATTGGCCTGCGCGGGAGGCTGCCAGGGGAGGCCCCGTTCCCTTTGCTTGCCCTTGTGCCTCCAGCAGCAAGTGCAGCCGTGTCGGAGCAGGGGGGAGATCCGCAGCCTCCCCGCTCCCTGCTGCCAGGGGCTCGTGAGCCTTCACTGCCCGGAGCACGTGGAAGACGAAGGGGAGGAGGCGGCAGCTGCTCCACACACCGGTACCTGTCGGCCCTTTTGGGCCTCCCCTCGGCTCTGGTGCTATGGGAGCCCCAGCCCTGGCTGCCGTTGTCTGTGCTGGCCTCTCCGCGGGCATCGGAGAGCGCACGTGCCCTCCCTGTGCACTGGGACAGCCCTTCTCCCAGCAGAGCTGCCTCTGCTCCGAGRGAATGTGCACGGGGGTGTCCCCAGGGCGGCGGGGAAGGCACAGCGGGATGGACAGCGCTGTGGGAATGGAGCCCGCGGGGCTGCTCCAAGGGGAGCATCCCTGTTACCTGGAGCACTGCCCCAAAATGGGCAGATAGAGACGGTGCCCCCTCCGTGGCTGCCCCTGCCTGGCTCGCAAACCTGTTGTTCTGCATTCAAGGGGGCCTTGGCTGCACCATGGCCCTGGCTGCCCCCCTGGGACCYCTCCATCCACCCACAGCGGCAGAGGGGCCGCTCCCTGCGCGCGTCCTTCTCCCAGCTCCAGATGGGAGCGGCAGCTGAAGGCGAGAGGTGCCCGTGTGAGCGGCTGAATGCCGGTGACACTGAGTGTCTGCTGGAGCCCTCCACCAACAACGTGAAGGTAACGGGGCCCAAACCGTGGGGTGGGGGAGCCCCATGCCGGGCTGCAGCCTGTGTCCATGCAGGGCCTTGAGCTGCTCCCTGGGCAGCTGCCACACAGACACATGCCATGCGAACGCGGAACTGGATGCGGCAGCCGCGTCTGCCCTCCCGGCCCGAGGCAGACGTGTGCGGGTTACGTGTGTGTCAGCGACTGCTCCCATCAGGACCGAGCASCCTGCGCTGGGGTCCCCGGCCTCCCTGCTTTCTCCCCAGGCTGTCTGCAAACATCTCCCCCAGGGCTGGGCCATGGGCTTCGGGAGCGCCGTGGCGGAGGGCTTGCTGTGCGCCTGGCCCGGGGGTGCGAGGGCAGCTGCGGGGTGGCTGCGGAGTGCGGGGAGCTGCAGGCGGAGGTGCGGGGGGCAGCTCTGCTGGGGTCTGCCCGGTCCCCCTCGCTCCTTTTCCTCAGCTCCCTCCTCCCTCCCTTCCCGCTTCCCGCCGCGGGCGCCTCCCGCGGGGCCGGGCACGTCCGCCAGGCGGCGCCGCCGGGTCCCCGTGGGCGCTGCCCCTGCCGCC